ACCTTGATAATATTTCTCAAGGTCATTCCAAGGTCAAATAATTACCAATATCTGATAGCTTTTTTAAACCTACAACTTTTGTTTCAAATATTGTTTTAAACAATCATTATTTTTTGAAATAATTAGCCGTTCCGGAACTTTTGGCAGACCCTGTGTATGTACATATACACAGAATACAGCGTATGTCGATTAAACACTAGCTGTATCTTGATAAATTTTACATTACATACACATACACATTAAAGCTGCACCAGTATATTTGTATATATGGATATACATGTATAAAGTGTTCCAGAACTTGTGTCACAGTTCTTGATGGTCTAGAACGGATTAAAACGAACAAAAAAATCCCATACCATTTTACAATATTCGCAATAATTATGGAATTATTAATTATAAAAATCAGACGAATACGTATGCGCTGAAATAGTAGGAAAGAAGTGTTTAGGTCGCTTTCGCAGGTTGTAGCGCAGCCCAGTCATTCTAGTCATCACAAATATCAACACGTAGCGAAGAGACGAACAACATGTCGTTACTTATATGCTCACATCGTCGCTCTTACGTCTTGCCGCACCACATTCAAACTCGCATCGATATTTTTTGCCGTTAAATATTCAATTACAATTACAAGATCATTTTATGAGATAGCAAAAGCAACTAATATTGAAATAATAAAAAGTTCTGTGATAAAGAAAAAATGAAAAGAAAAAAAGCGATAGAAACAGATGAAATCTATAGAAAATCTCATTGTTGTTTATCATATTCTATTGTTTTATTATATTGAATCCAAAAAAAATAATATCGGTTTTTTATCGCACTTTGCTTCGTATTAAAATATTGAATCAAAGTATAATAGAAATATAATAGAATTCCCTTAAAGACTTATCATATGATTTTGTTATGTAAATCTATAATGGAGAATAATGTTTGGTTAAATGAATCAATTTTCTGAATAAAATATGGACAAAATATAGATGATTTAGAAATTCTAATTGAAAATATTAGAATTTTGTTTAAATTAATAAAAAATCTTGATAATTTAGACTGAGTTCTAATAATTTCAACCAGAATTTTTGTATTGTTCATCTTATCAGAAAATTGTTTCGTTGTATCAAATATTTTTCTCCACGTATCATGAAAAAAATAATGGAAATCTATCGTAATCAGTATGATATTAGCATATGATATTAGCATAGCAATAGGAAAAACTCAAAGTTCTCTATCCTATAACTACGAAAAGAAGCTGTTATCATTGTCAATCGTCCACCAACGATACTTGACAAAATTGATCACTGGGTATAATTACAATAGAAGGCCCATCGTAATCTATCGTGAACTCATTAAAGAGTAGATGTTCTTCTATCGTATAATTCTATCGTACAAAGAACCTAACACATTATAACTAAGTATTTCGTGCATATCTTTAATTCTCTGGTAAGATACAAAGGGATAACATAAAAAATCAATCATGAATTTATGGTGAGTTCTTGTTAAGCAGAAGTCTGTAAGCTAACTGCTAAGCTTCTGTGGTTTGGAAATTATAGTTTTCCTTTGCCACGAAGTATTCTTATTTCACACATGTGAGTACAGCCATCTCTCAAGTAGAACACCAAATTGTAATCATTTCATGCTGCTAGAGATATCTAAAAGAAACGCTTATAGGTTTTAATACTAGCAAAGACTTTATATCTTGACATATTCGGATATTCTTGAAGGAACAATTTGTCGTCTCCTGATAAAAAATAAAAAGAAACCGGTGGAAAATGATTAATTTAATTTTCTATTCTTATTATGAATAGTAAATTGATAAAAGCCTATCGTAAATATATGATAGATTATATGATAAATATTATGTTTCTTTTTCGTATATTATTTTTATAGTATCTACAATTCTAATTTTTATAGTATCTACAATTCTAATTTTGTTTCTTATCATATTATATCGTAATTATGAATCCTGCATTATTACGGGAGTACTGACAATTGAGTTTGGATCATCTCTTTTGTAAATATATTATTTATAGCGTTGAATTCTTTTATCGTTTCGTATCATTTCCTTTTCCATAAAACGTGAATCAACAAAAGTCTATCGTAAATTAACGATTAATATCACACAACAAATTTCCAGTACTTTTTTCATGATACACGGGAAAGAATGTTTGATTCGATGAATGAATGTCCTATAAGATTCTATCATTTTTTTTTCTTTCGATCTTTTCTTTATCTTTATCAAAAAAAGCTAAAATGTGTTACGATATATGATTTCGAAGGGGAAAGGGAATGGCATTATCAGTTTTTTATTTGGAGGGTATTTTCAAGGTCAGTTGAAGGTCAACTTAATTTTTTTTAAATAGAAAGCCCAATTTTTTTATTATATCTTCTTTTTCTACCAATTAATTTTAACAACTTTTGTCTGAAATAATTTTTTATTTGCCTAATATTTTTTGAGGAAAACTTGGTAACTTTTTCAACATTTAACTTACGATATCTCGCTAACTATTCGTCGAAAGAAAAAATAGTATTGGACGTTTTTACTTTATTTACTATCAAGAATATATTACTATAATAGTGCCTTAACTTTTGTTAACTTATCGACCTTTGGAAATTTCAAAATTATTAAATTAACAAAAGTCAGGGCACTATTGTAACAATATATTCTTGAGACTAAATAAAGCAAGAAAGTCTAATACTATTTTTTCTTTCGACAAATAGTTAACGAGATATCGTAAGTTAAATGTTGAAAAAGTTACCAAATTTTCCTTAAATATTTCAAAAAATATTAGTCAAATAAAATAAAAAAATGTTTCAGACAAAAGTTGTTAAAATTAATTGGTAGAAAAAGAAGATATAATAAAAAATTGGACTTTCTATTTAAAAAAATTAAGTTGATCTTCAACTGATTTGAAAATGCCCTCCAAATAAAATACTGATAATGCCATTCTCGTTCCCCTTCGAAATCATGGAAAACGTGTTTTAGCTTTTTTTAATATCTTTCATAGCTTTTGAGATTTTTTAATGCGAAAGTTAAAATGGGACACCCTGTATATATTCTTCCAACTTCTATAATTAATAACTTGATAATTATTGCGAATATCACAAAACGGTATGGGACGTTCTTGTTCACCGTAATCCGTTCTACGTCCTTACGAACTATAGCACAAATTGTTCTGGAACATTTTGTATATACGACGGTATATACAAGGATAATATATACAAGCTCCTAATAAATTTGTTTGCATCTAATTAACAAACAATTTAACGAGAGAAAGAGAGAGAGAGAGAGAGAAGAAAAAAAAAAAAAAAAAAAAAAAAAAAAAAAAAAAAAAAAAAAAAAAAAAAAAAAAAAAAAAAAAAAAAAAAAAAAAAAAAAAAAAAAAAAAAAAAAAAGAAAGAGAGAGAGAGAGAGAGAGAGAGAGAGAGAGAGAGAGAGAGAGAGAGAGAGAGAGAGAGAGAGCTTCAGACTTCGAGTAATTCCTCGCAGACAGCCGATTCAAGATGAAGTCCGCGTCGGAAGTATCAGGCCGCGACTGTTCACATAAACTTAGTTTCATTTACATATTAAAGGTAAAAGAAAAAGAAACATTCGGTTCAGAATGCAATTATCTTGTACAATGTTCTTTTTCTTGTGCGGCGCCTGTTAGCAATGTATGGCAAAGAAGAACGAAAATTTTTTGAGATTTCTACGCAAATAAATAATAGCTTATAAATTTAAAATATAATAGTTTATGATCATCTTCGATATAATTTCAAATTCATTTAAAAAACATTTTAAAAAAAATAAAAATCTCTTTTTCTAACATAATTTACTCTCCTTATGAATCGCGCCTAATATATTTTGTGTTACAAGTTTGGTATTACAGTTTACATTTATTTACTTTTTTTTATCCTATGGATTTTAAGAAGAAAAGTTTGTCTCTCAGTTGCTCGCTTAAAATATATTACAGTTTGATAATTTAAATTTTGTAAAATACGATACAATTCTTTCACTCGATAAGTGAACTAAGATCGACAGACCTCGCGCAGTAAATTGTGTGACATTCATTGACGTTGGAAGAAACTAAATATGGTTTGAAGTAGTTTTCCGACACGGTAACGTTCTAGTAATATTAACTAGTTTTTCCATTTCGTCATTTAACTGAGTTTGCTTGTGTTCCGACGACGTTTCTCTATTCTTTTCTTTTTTTTTGTAAAATGTACGTCTTCCGCGGAATATTTGTGATTTTAGGCTACTTTTACACCGATGATTCATATTCTATTTCTATCGAATTTTTATCACACGATATATTAACAAAAAATGAAATTTATCCGACTTTGACCAGCTCATTCGTCCAGAAATAATTTAGCAAGATTTATATTTGAGAAAAAGGGATATCTCACTTTCGGAAAGACTCGTAAATATCACAAACATAAAAGTAAATCTCAAGAAGTTTGTAGAAACTAATAAAAATCTGGTCGTATCTAAGTCGAAATTTTGGTTCCATTGATCCTATTATCGGAAATATTATCGAACTTGAAAAATCAATGAAGAATATCGAGACATAACATCACAGACTAGACTATGCTGTATACCCTAACGCTGCAAAGAAGTAATCAGTCACGAGAGAGAGACTTAATAATTCTTTTTCCTCACCTATTTTGAATCTTCAAATGCTATTGAAATATCCAATATTGATAAAAAATAATAAAAAGATTATAAAAGAAGAAAATATATATGTGTTATTTTATTTACCAACTTACTAATTAATCTTCATTAGATTATTCAATACTTACTTGTCGCATATATTCTATCTACAGTTAAGTTAATTACAATATTAATATGTTATTTGCTGTAGTTAAAAATAAAAATTAAATGTAGACTACTTGATAAAACTAATGAATAAATTGGTAAAACTATTAAAAAATAAACGAATGTTAAAAAATTCTTAAATAAGTTCTTTATATGTATATTAGTATCAACATGAAAATTCAACACTAGAGGGATGATAAAATATTAAACGATCTTTAAATAAATAAATTCTTTTTTAAGTCTCAACAAAACAGCAACGTGTAATTACTTTACTAGCTTCAAAAGATAATAGTCAGTAGTGTTGTACTTTGAGATTCTTCACTGTGTAACTCTCCAAGTTCAATGGAATTTGCAGGTTCAACGTAAAACGTAGAACAAGGATTTTGATTCAAGTTACGACATGTCGATGATAGTCCTCTCGGGAAATGCTACAATAATTAAAGAGATTGAACGGATCTTACAAATCACGCGTAAGGCGTGGAAAAAAGACAATTGGTCAAGATAGAAAGTATCTACGAAGTATTTTACAGGAATAACAGGACAAGTATATATGCGACTCGAGCTATTTGATGTGCCAATCTAAGTAAACTATTCCTCAACATATTGAATCGTCATTTCCGCTCGTCTAATGTACGACATATATACATACGTCTATTTGTACTACCGAACTGACACTCGGCTCTCATTCGTAAGCGTAATAAAATCCATAAACCAGCTCGCAGACGTTGTTCGCGATCACGAACTGCCCCGTAGCTTAAAATTACAGAGACTTTTGAAAAACACAATCGCCCGCTGTAGCTTTCATTCCTCAGCCGGTGTCTGTGCTCCCCCGCTGTCTTCGCGATTACCGCTGCCTTTCTGTTCTTGCTCCTTTTGTGCTTTGGCTTCTGCATCTGCAGACAAAGCGTCATCACAATTTATCGATATTACTAAAAGGAAGCGCTATGCATGTGATTGCTTGCATAGCTGCATGCATAGATACGAACGGGACTTTTCTAACCGAGAAATTAGGATTAGAGTTTTTACATATTGTGAAAAATTGGAAAATCAGAAATCCGTCGAAGGAGAGATTGACCGCGCTTACAGTTGGAAAAGATTTAATCAGAACGACAACGTACCTCGAACTGCTTGTTCCTTCCAAATTCTCTTGTTATCTGCGAGGCACGAGATCCAAGGTTTGTTAATTTTGAATCTTCTACTTTCTTCTCCCGAACCTGTAACATCATTATTATAGAAAATTGTTTTGTGAAATAAAATTCTTCGTCAATTATTCAAAAACTCGTAAAATCTCACTATTACTAGGCTCTTCGCCGGTATCCTTAACGTTTAGCGGCGCTAGAACGGTCTCCAACATGTCACTGCACACTTGCATACTAGGCTCGACGATGAATTCTATGAATCCTATTTGAGATTCAGCCACTAATGTATTATTGCGATCGCAGAGAGGAGAAAACGGCAAACCGAGTTCTCTCTCTTTGTCGCCTTGTCTAAAGAACTCCTCCAGAAGTTGCATCGTCCATCTGCACGTTAAAAATTATTGAATCAACATAAAATTAAAATTAAATTAATATGAAATACAAGTATTGAATCGAGTACGTTGTCCATCCTAGGTACATTCCAATTAGAAATTACGAGAACTATTATGAATATATTGTTCATTTTTCATTCGTAGGAACGAAAATCGAAATAAAATTTTCATTTCAGTTTGTGATTATTTTTTTATCACATTTGAGAAATAAAAATGTTGCGGAGACATTAATCTGGTATATCTGTGAATAAATTTCCAAATTTCATCGAAGCTGTGCAAATAAGGAGAATTTATTAATACTCTTCGTAAGTACAAAGTTTTACCTGTGATGGAGATCCCATCTTTTAGCGGGATGGGAAATATCACAACAATGGAGGACCAAACTAACGGCTTTGCTTTTATCTACACTCGGCTCCGCCAAACTTAATAGATTCTTCATGTTCTTCAACTGTTGAAAGTGAAAACTCATGTCGGTAGCGAGAACCATGTCGATCACGAGCGATCGAAATTCTCGAAATTCTTCTCTTGACAAATTCTGCAATATGTTGCAGTCATCTTCGCGAAGTATCCTGAAATATATAACAGTATTGGCAAATTATATAACTATTTCCATTTGATCTCGTTACAACGCATCTGCGGCGATAAAAGCACAAATGTTAATTGTGAACATTTATTAAAAAAATTATAAATAATAAATAAAATAAAACAAAATAATAAACAAAAAGAATTTTAACAAGTTATAAAAATTAATTCCATGCATATAATAATTCTTTATTTATTGTATTGATATTCAATACAATAAACATCTCTTTGTATTAGCAGTAATCTTTAAACTACTGGACTACATATATCGAAATTTTAGCTATCTACGAACACTATTCAGAAGAACAATCGATATCAACAAATGGGATTTGCACATACCGGAAGCTGGCCGAGATGTGGTGATTTTCCAACACGGCACGGTCGTTATACAGAAGCGCTGTTTCGCTACCGGACATTACATGGAAATTGTTTGTGGTCCCAGTATGCTCATAATCATGAATAATCGCTGCCACGAGGGTGGCGAAAATCTCGAGATCAGTCAACCAATGCTGCAAGGAGTAATATTAGTTTGAGGCTTTCTCTCTCTCTCTCTCTCTCTCTCTCTCTCTCTCTCTCTCTCTCTCTCTCTCTTTCTCTCTCTCACTCTCTCTCTCTCTCTCTCTTCAAAATAAATCACAGGAACACTAGATGTCTACATAATATCTTTAAAAAGTATTCACCATCAAGCCTGTTTGACAGAGGATGTGATGCATCGTTTGCGCGACATCGGCAGCGTGAAGGTTGTTGTGATACGGGTTACGATGCCTACAATAGCCCTCTTCGACTCTTCCGAGAAAACATTCCAAAACTGCAGGAGGTACTTTAAACTTGTGAATCATGCCGTATCGATTGAGAAGATCGTAGCCTAGGTATTTCACCGGCGTGCCCAGCGCGGCCTCGTTCAAGGAAAACACATCGAACGACCAGTCGTCTAAAGTCTTGAACGGTAAAGCGAGCAATTTGAACACAAAGCTTTTCCTATAATAGATATCGATAGATCGAGCTTTAATTCTAATTACAACCCTTTCAAACGCACCGGAGTCTGTCAAACTAAATAGTCAAATCGTTACTAACATAATTGCTTAATAAAAATCTAGAACTGTAATTAAAGTCTCTCCGAGGTGTAACTAAAATAATGAAAAATCCAGGACGTGTACATATTACTCTGAAATATCTCTGCGATTAGCTTTCGCTTTTGCAACTTTAATCGTTTCCGCATCATGTGATACATACCACTCTCTCGCTACCCTGAAACCCTCTCATTAGCCCGCAAAAAGCAAATACTCCTGATCGTCCGATTGCTAAAGGGAATTACCTTGAGTACTTTCACGACTTCTTGCGGGAATTGCATGAGGGCAGTGTTGGTGACCCTTCTGTAGATCCGATCGACAAATATGCCCGCGCGGATAGCGTGCGCGACTGAGCGAAATTTCGGTTTCTCATCGGCCTTCCGCCTAGTAGTGGCCAACTGCCTCGTAAAAGTCGAAGCCAGCCATTCACGCACTTCTGGTGGCACTGCGTCCGGCTGAACCTCCGACAGCTCGTCGTCTTCATCCGCCAGTCGCCTAGAGGAAATTGTAAAATACGACGTTAGATCGACGACGTACCGGCATGTACGTGCGGCACGGTCAAAACGCCTACCTTCATTACGCTCGATCAGTATCGAGCCGAGACGCTCGATGTCCTCGAAACTGAGCATCGTGGCTCGCTAAAGAACCCGCGTTTTCAGGCTCGCTCTACACTCGTTGTGGAATGAACCGAACTAATTGCTTCTAGATATACCGCGGTCGCTACGTTATTTCGCAGCCAATACGTGGTGATTTTGATCAAGTATATACAAACTGCGAATTACGTCACATGAAAGTCGCCTAACTCGCCAAGTACGATCACTTTTTTTCTGTTACGAGTCGCGTCGATTTTCCCGATCGTCGCGTTCGTCAACGGTAAGTGAAGGTAAAAAGCAAGTCACGATCACGTTGCACTTATATCACATCAAGCCTTACGTTTTGTAAAGGAGGAAAATCAATAAGAGCGTTTTTCTACTTCCAGAGGATTTTTAAAAAACATTTTTCTTGTGTTATATAATTACTAGGAATGTTAAAATGTTAAAAATAACTATAAAGTGGAATTAATAATAATAATAAGAAGAAGAAGAAGAAGAAATAATTAGGAATGTTAAGTTTCATGACTAATAAGTGAATTAATAAAATATTTTCGCTCATTGTACCTGTCTGCCATCATATTAACATTCAATATTTCAAATCATCAAGAGATATTGAAAATAGTATAGATGCTGCCCATTATTTGTCCTACTGGATGTATGAAGAATCGTCAAATTCTGAGCATCATCATCAAAAGATACTTAAAAATTATGATCGTAGTACCTGATGTGTCAAAAATAAAAAAATAAAAATAAAAAGCAAAATAAACAGAAATTAAAACCTTTACAATATTAATATGATCACAACTTTGGCGCGGTGTAGAGGTTTAAATCTGCGAGCAACAAATAGCGATTACTTATTTATTATTGGCACCTACATGTCAAATATAATAAAAATTTAATTCTTTCACTATGGGCTATATTTATTTTCACCTTGGAGACGATATATGTTGTAGTTTAAAATAACATTAATTGATATGATGGCAAAGAAATATAGTGAGCAAAAATTTTATTTTATTAGTCCATTTATTATTAGTCATGAAAAAGGTTTAGATATCATAGATATCATAGACTAATAATTTTAGCTCTGTGAATCGAATTTTTTTCTCATCTAATAGTTATTTTTAATATCCCTAATAATCATACAACACAAAAAGAATTATTTTTTGAAAATCCTCTAGGGTCAGAAAAACGCTCTTACTGACCCTCCTCCTTAGGGCATGACACAGACGAAGGTTTATCTCATTCTAGATCCGTCAAGAATAATTTTACAGACAAATTATCTGCGGTGTCTTTAAAATATTTCTCGGCAGACAATTACTTTTATATGAAATTATCTTAGATCAGATGTGCGGATGCTATTCTATTGTTCTATGCATTTGTAATAAACTCGCTAAAAAGAATTCACGCTCTAATTGTTACATACATATATATATATATATATATATATATATATATGTTGACGACGGATTCAACTAAGGGCACACCAATCACATCAGTTCGGCGAGACAATGCGAGATTAAATGTGCGATTTAGACAACGGATGGAATGTTGCTTTAAGAAACAGTGAGAACAGGGGGAACGTATGTTAATATAAAAATCAAACGTTTCAAATAAACCGCTACGGTCTTCCGAGTGTGTTTCTTGATCTCGATACTCAGTCCGATATACACACAATCACAATAATGATCGATTTAGTAACTTGAGCGAAGTTGCGACAGTCAGATCAGTCGTCTTGGGAAACGATCTTTGCGGGAGTCGTGCCAATATTTCGACGTAATAATAATAGCACGAACATTAACGCTAAGTCGCAAAATGCATCGTGATCTCGTTTGATGGTAGTACATTACCGATATGTTCAAGAATCTCGAGTACATAGATCGTACAGAACGCAAAATGACCGAGAATTGTGAGTGAAATCTAGAGATCTAGAACCAATCGACATCATTAACAACAGTACCGATAGCAATGACAACATTATATCGCACGTATTCAGCAGGCTACGGAGAGTAACATTTAACGTATTTGTGAGACACTTCATACGCAGCTTACAAATTACGATAAATGTAATTAGATACCGACATATTTATTCGTGACACGAAAAAGCTTTGTGCGCATCTATATGTCTGCATGCACGTTGTATGTTGCCAAAAATCATATCGTGATGTAGGATATCTTAGAAATATATCATGTGTTTTCTTAATAGCAAATTTTATGATAATCTCACGCACGGATCGCTCTTTCTCTACCGATTAGCAAGCGTAAACTTCGCGAACGATGTGTCTATAACTTTTAACTTTCGTGCATAAGATTATTGTTCAAAAACATTTATTTAAGAGAGAAATGATATTATTGCGATATAAACGAAAGATGAAGGCTATTGCGGAATATAACAGTAAAGTCCCAGTGCAGTAACATGTTCATATATCGATTTCTCTTTCTCTTGCTGCGCAATGACATGTTCAAATGTCTCTAATAGTGCTAAGGATAACAGTAAATATGTCTGCGATCCATCATTAGCTTGCTATGAAAATTTATCACGATTTTTACGATTAACTTGCTACAAAATTCGTCCATATCACTTTAAATTGGAGTTGGGAATTAGATACACATTTCAGGTAGATTTCTGATGTGATGGCTACTATCCTCATATTACCGCTCCAAAGTCGTACCGTCGATCGTGAGACATTTTGCCTCAGGAACGTTCCAAACAAGAAATATGCTAGAATCGTACTTTTCATCAAAACGTTATCAAAATATATTTTTATTCAATAATTTCTATTTTCTACAAATTATTATTTTAATTTATAGAAAATAGATAAATTATTATTTTAAATTATAGGAAATAAATGAGTTATTTTTCTATAAATAATTAAATAGTATATTTTTTATTTACAACATATTTCACACACACACACACATACACACACATACACATACACATATAGAATACGTTACAAATAAAACAATTTAGTATTTAATTATTTATGAAGATAGAAATTATTAAACAAGAAAAATATTAGTTATCGCATTATATTAGGCTCATCGCATTAGGCGCTTAATATAAGCGCCCGCATGTGACGATGAGTTGCGCCGTGCCTGATTATCTCGTGTATCTGATTTGTAATCAAAAGAAGTAATCTGTAATAAGTAACTACTTATTTTTATAACTCAAAAATTAAATTTCGGATAACATTTTACAAAAGAAAAAATTGTCTTAAGATTCCTTCACGAACATGTCATTACAAGGATAAGTTGTTCTGAATCACTTTATATATATTTATATTTATACATACTATATATATGTAGTATGCAGAATAAAACGAAATATTTCAAGTAAACATTATTAATTCTGATGAAAGTTATTCAAACAAAAAAATTATATCTCGTTCCATTAAAAAAATGAGGGACCTCCCTTTGGTCCCTTAGGTCCCTTAGTTCCTTTAAAACAGTGCTCGGAATTACTTTCAATTTTCAGGCGACTTTTGGAAATTTTCTCCTACTTACTTCTGCATGCGCGCTGATCATAAATCTGACAGTCGCGCTCCCCGTCTTAGGACTGTTGACATTATAACATTTAAGAAGCACTTACTAATAGCTGTAAAATTAGCTATAATTACAGTTATTGTCTATAATGTTAACAGCCCTGAAGCAGGGAGCACGATTATTAGATCTATGATCAGCGGATATGCGGGTGCAATAAGAGAAAGTAAGGGGAAGTAAGTAGGGGGAAAATTCCTGAAAATCGTGTAAAAAATGAAAGTAATTCTGAGCACTGCCCTAAAAGGTTCCTTCAAAAATCTTCTTACGCGTCAAATAGTCAGCTATGTTCTATTTAATGTAAAAAGAAATTCAAGTCTATAACACACACACACACACTTCAGCGTGTTTCGGAGAAAAACAAACATTGTAACAAATAATTTAGCCCACCATGTGTGTGTATATGTGAAATAACGATTTGGTAGAAGCATATTTCTTATATAGAGACATTCTTATAAAAGGCAGAGCATCTCACATGTCGGCCGTTTGGCCATTGAACCTAGATAGATAGTAAGAATATAGTTGATGTCATGTTCGAAATTTGTTTAAAACGTATATCTATTCCCACCGCTGCTTTAAATCTTAACATTCAGCAATTTTCTGATTATCGATTACTAAGCCGTTGATATCATGCAATGCTCACTGGAAGTGACTGGAAGAACATCGCCAGGCATCCTGAAACGCTCCTCGCGATACGCTTCAGTGAATTGTTTCATACAAGCCAGAGCGTGCGGCTTATCATGCATAGTGCGCCTAGACGGCTTCGCGAGACAATGCACAGCCCAAAACGCAAAGTGCAAATATGAGCGTAATGTCGTATGCGCCCATTCCACAAATCACGCTCAGAATGTGATAACTTTGAGCGAAACGAACCTACGTCGTACACCCGGACGACACGTAGCGGCTGATTCCACACGCTCGGCGTCTCTATAACGTGAAACACGAAGGAAACATATATCACATTAAAGGTTTCACATCGATCTAAGTGTCTCGCTACGAACAAACATCCTTGGCACGCCCGCTGCGTGGGATGACTCGAAAATATCCCTACTTTCTCTGTCGGCTCTCGTTTCTGCGAAACCAACGCAGTTACCACTAGCTTCCGGGCGGTAGTCAGCTTTTTCCGGGTGTTCTCCCCAGAGTCACTCCCACGCATCATGGCGCCCCGACAAATTCGCAAGGGATGTTTGCACCGAGAGGATCCGGCGATAAACGTCCTACGTGTACATGCACCCATCTCGGGCAAGAACAGTGCGGGCGAGCTAATAAAAATCAGTTTGTCGATTGTCGTTAGAATAATGCGTGTTACGGCAGGCAAACATGTCCGACAAATCGAGAGAGAGGGGGAGAGAGAGAGAGAGAGAGAGAGCAGGTTACACCTAGAAAGAATCTAAAAGTAGGCTAAACCAAAGGGGAACGAGAGAATAGGCAGACAAGAGTATGTCCATGCTGTGTCCGTAAGTGTCGTTTCATCCTTCGCGGCCGAGTTTCTCCTCTTATTATCTCGTCTCGATGAGATTGGTCATTTGATCGGACTAGCTCAATATGCGATCAGGACACGGGAATTAAATTAAATGAATCAATAGGTACACACGACCTAGAGTGGCTGATGTTTTTCCTGTTACACTATGTCCGATTACTCATTTGAACGCCACTTGTTACCGGATCTCGCGTGTCGCGAAACAAGTATATATATGTGTATGTTACATAATGTCTACATGATAAGATCTATATGATAAAAATGCATAACGATCAAATATTGTCGAGCAATTTGACTTTTTCACTATATGTCAGACAAGCTTATCAAAGGAAGAACGACGCACGATAGCTACATTGTAATACGTTTCAATTTCTGTACGCTTAGACTAGACTAAATAGAAACATATATGAGGCAGCTATGTGTACCGACTAGAAGATAACGTAACATTTACTCGTTCCATCTATGAATCTACGATACGATCATCGCGTTTTACGAAGGAGAGCGACAATTCGGACAACGGAAGTACCGAAAAATTTTCAAGGATAAGTTCGGCCGACACCAGAGAACGAAATATAAAAAATATAAAATTCCGCCTATTGATATTTTTTACGCGGATTAAAACATTCGTTTGAGAGAACTCGGAGTCAACCATAAAGATTTTAATTACATTTTTTATTTAATGTTTAAAAGAGATAGACTAAAATAACTGTCAATATTGTTGTCGTTTCTCTACAGAGCTGATTGGCTGTCAGTTGCGCGATTTGTGCGAGCAAACTTCATATCAGTGATGACTATTAACAGCTTGACATTTAGCGGTCGAACGAATATCGAGAAACGTTAGCTGGAGAGCAAATAATAAAACATTATAAAATATCACATGTGTATGAAATAAAATAGTGGAGAACAAATAGCGGATTATATTGCGATTCGTTGAACTTTCGCACGAAACCAAAAACTTTCAGGGTACATTTCATCTGCTGTTTACACATTATTCATCTCCAAATCGTCGCGCACGACGACTAAGGTCCCGAGTTATCGTCATTAGGCGACTGTTATCTCCTGTTATAATTGGCTCCGAATTCCCCTAATTACTAAATCATAGCAAATTCTCCAACCCTCTACAGGATAAGGTAACCTTTATTGGATGTCGATACTCGGCAGCGGCATTCTGACATTTAACGACATTCGCCGATATTTTTAATTATTCGACGAACACACGACAAGTAAAGATAATGTTTGTTCTGCGCTTTTCTTTGTGAAAAATGAAATTCGTTCGTTCCTCTATTGCCTTGATAAGTTGAGTATATATATATATATATATATATATTAATACTGCGTAAATAAAAATAAACTCAAAGTAAAATCCGAGCTTGTCGCTCACCGCCGCGATCCCACCGCAACGATCATCCTCAACTTTCAAAACGCGCAAACGCAAATCATTCGGCAAAAAGGACGACAAAGAGCGTCGACGGCATGGATACGGACAGCGGAAAATCTCAACGAAGTGGGTATAGAAGTGACGAATATAGGAGGACGAGTTGCAAGTAGGGAGAAAGGAAAGGAAGAAATCAGGGTCAAATCTGAGGTTGGGAACAAGGGGGGTCGTAACGGGGATTGGAAATGTGAATGTTTCGCAACCTTGCCCACACGGGGGTGCGAAGTTTCCGTTTCTGGGTTACCACCGCGTGGCCCTGTGGTCCGTCTGGGTCCAAGCCTCCCCCTAGGGATGAAGACGTCAGGCCCGCCCCCCTACGTGATGACCGAGCGCACTCATTCCCGTCTGAACTCACCCTGCGGTAGTGCTTGTTAGTTCATGTGTAAAAAAAGATCAGGACAATACAAGATTATAGTTTGTTTCTTTGCTCTCTCTTTTGTTTTTTTCTTTCTTTCTTTTACTTTTTCTTTTTATTTATTGTCTTTTCTCATTCTGCTGTTTTTATTTTGCGTCCTCAATAATCCACTGCGCCCTTATCAACGAATCTTCTTTTTCACTATAGTACGCTGCTTAAAAATCTAATAGAACAAACAGTGAGGGGAAAATAAAAAAGGATATATGTGTGTTAAATAAATAAATAAATATATATATATTATATACTATATATATATATATATATAGTATATATATATATACACACGAGGGTCATGCTGAAAGTTTTTAGGTACTTAAAATCAGGAAGCCCTATAACAATAAAACTCAATACGTTTGAAAGAATATTCCTTCCACTAAATAATAGAAAATTTAGATTTATTGGTTTAGAAAAGGGAGGTAGAAGAGCGTTAGTTAGCTTGGGTCTGTCAATCGACTGCAATGGAGTTCGAGAGACGCGATTTTTGTGCCATGACTTTTTATGATTTTAAATTTGGTTTAAATTAAGACCAATGTCGTAGGCGTTTGGTGAAGTATTTTGAGGATTCAGCTCCATCACGTACTACAGTGTTCAATTGGTTTGCCGAATTTAAACGTGAAAGACAAAGTCTTAAAGATGAGCTACGTTCTGGGCGTTCTTACATTGCAACGGACGAAAATATTGCTGCTGTGAAAAACCTAGTGAAAGAAGATCAGCATATCATATATAGGGAAATAGAAGTGACCCTGAAGATCGGATCAACCGCAATGCAGACGATAATTAAGGATTATCTGCATCTCACAGAGATACAATCGTTGAGTGCCACATCTGCTTATGTTTGAGCAAAAAAAAAAGCGGATCGATTAGTATCGTCATATGTTACAAAAGTTTAGAGAAAGGCAAAGTAAAGACGTTTTTAATACCGTAACAGGTGACGAAACTTGGATAACTATGATCCAGAAACAAAGCAGCAATGAACAGTATGGTGTTTTTAAAAGGAGCTTCCATCATCAAAAGTGCAACGAGGACGAAGCGTAGGGAATATTATAATCGTATCTTTCTTCACAAAGGCAGACCATATAACTGTTCCATTAGAAGATCTATTCATTATGACAGCAAAGTGGTACGTTACGCACTGCCTTCCGAAAGTTTTCGAGGCGTAGACTTCTGCACATCCAAGGTCGACACTCCACTATTTCATCCTTCATCACGACAATGCACGACTTCACCTAGCGGCGAGAACTTTGAAGCTTTTGCAGAAAAACAAGTTCGGGTCCTATTTTATCCTGCCTATTTTTCAAATTGGCTTGCTGCGACTTTGCATTGTTCCCAAAAGTAAAGAGAAAACTTGGTCGATTTGAAACATCAGAAGAGGCATTTGCAGCTTACAATAAGGAACTATCAAAACAAAAGTAAAATATATAATGACTGGGTTTTGAGAATATACAAGTGTATTCATGCTCAAGGAAAGTGTTATGAAAAATTATAATATGTATTGTTTAAATAAATTCATTTGTTTAAGAATGTCTAAAAACTTTCGGCATGACCCAAATGTATACATATACAGGGTGTATAAAAAGTCCCGGGACCCCTGAATATCTCAGAAGGGTTACGTTTTAGAAAAAAAATGTTAAATATGAATGTTGTAGAGCAGAGCTGGAAACGATCTGCACATTTCGGGCGAAATTCAAAAGGTAACACCCGTCCCCCTGCCATCGCTCCGCGCTCAGTGGCCGAGGCGACGATCGCGGTGCGTTCAGGTCCGTCGCTGTATAAGAAATCAGCTGGAGTATCGCCCTCGTGTCATATTATCATTAAAATTTTTTCCTCGTTTAATAATCACATTAAAATATATATATTTATATGTTTTATACATATATATATATAAATAATCAGTAAATATATCGAAAATGGCGTTATCTGTAAACAAACTGATATAGTTTTATGTCCCCTTTAAAACCATGCAACTTTTGTCTGAAATATTTTTCCGTATCTTCCATATTTTTCGAGATATTTGTCTGGGAGATTTAAAATGGGATACCCTGTATGTATCAGGTGTACAAATAAGTTTTAAAGTGTTTTTAAGACAATGCAAAACGTATTTGAAAGAAAAGAACAATACATTTATTAATCAAAATATGCGCCGTCATTATCTATCACCTTCTGCCATCGGTCAGGCAGCTGACGGATTCCAGCAGTAAAGAAGTATTCGTCATGCGACACGATGAAGTCGTCACCTATTTTTGCAGTTCGTCAAATGTCTGGAAGTGAACTGAAGACAAAGCATTTTGCATGGATCGGAACAAGTGATAGTCTGAAGGGGCTATGTCGGGACTATACGCCGGGTGCTCTAAAACTTCCCAGCCAAGCATCAATAATTCCTTGACTGATTTTGCAACATGCGGTCTGGCGTTATCATGGAGCAATTTCACGGGACGCAATCCTTTGCCAGTAAATGGACATTTTCGACTAATTTCCTCGTTCAATCGCAGCAATTGTTGCTTGTAGCGATCAGCAGTAACAGTTTCACCCGCAAGAGATCATAATACAGCATACCCTTGATATCCCACCAGATACGTAACAAAACTTTCTTCGAGTGAATATTGCGCTTCCTCTTGATGTCGTTGACTTGACCGGGATCTACCCAGCGTTTTTTGTGTTTGGGATGAACCATACCCACTTCTCATCGTCCGTCACAATTTTCCACAGAAAAGATTTCCTACGTTTTTTCTTTAACAGATTCAAACACTTCATGACACGCTCATCTTTGTTCCTCTGACTCAGTTCATATGCTACTCATTTTCCTTCTTTGTGAATCTTTTCCGCGATTGCGTGTAGATAATTAGAAATAGCTTGTTGAATTACTCTCATTTGTTCAGCAAGTTCTTTTTGCGTTTGCGTGGAGTCTTCATCCAGTAATGCTTGCAATTGCTCATGTTCAACCTTCTGCGGGGCGCTGCTAACCTCAAAATCACCAGCTTTAAACGGCCTGAACAAAAATTTACATATGCTTTTCGATACGGTATTCTCCTCAAGAACAGAACATATCGATGCACATGCTTTTACAGCACTTTTCCCTTGGTGAAATTCGTAACGAATGCAGTGACGAATAAATGCTTAGTCGCTTGCCTACCAACGTTTAACTTGGAACGTTTCTTTCACCTACCAATGTTTAAAAATTTAAGTTTGAATGTTAAGCCAACTTCTGCGTCGTTTTTATTACTCTGGACCGGTTATAGTCACGTGACAAAACCGCAGGAGAATTTCTGCTTTGTAAACCAGTAGTATATGTCACACAATAAACGCTTTAAAATTTATTTATACACCTAATATATATATTTCGACATACTATATGTATGGTTGTGTATGTACAGAGTATTTCAAATATTGACTAAACTTTAAGAGTTGACTAAACTTTAAGAATATATTCTACTCACTGTGTAAAAGATGAAAAAAATTGTGTAAACATAGACCTGAGAATATTTCCTTTCCAAATTATAAACACTTTGTATTTAAAACAAACAATATGTTTCGTATCAACATGTCATGCATTATATTTTATTTACCTTCTATAAGAAGTAAATAGTTTAGATAGGTCTGTTTAGAATTGAAGTCAATCTATATTTAAGTGTTTAAGATTTAAGATAGTGTCAAAAGATGGCACTTTATTCTATATTCTTACTAAAGTTTATCGTAAATAAAAAGTGTTTTCAACTTGGAAAAGAAGTATTTCTGGATACATATTTACATGACCTTTTTTTATTTTTACAATTAATGGAATATGCTTTTAAAATTTAGCCACTTATTTCTATTTAAAACATTCTATATGTGTATGTGTCTGTTGTGTGTGTGTGTGTGTGTGCACGCGCGCGCAAGTGTATGTGTATATGTGTATATGTACAAGATATCCCAGAATGTCTGTATCAGCCGTTTTTTCGAAAAATTCACATTTTCTTAAAAAATATTTCCTACAAGAGTTGTAGTATTTTGAGTGACACATTATACGGTAATATTAGTAAGACCTTTAATAGCGTTCTCAAGATTACGTGAAAATCACTTTCAATTTTTTGAATAAAATCCCCATTTTTTCATTATATATTTTTGTAGCTGGCTCCAGCTACAAAAGCTTTCCAGAACATTAAATAAAGTACTTTTTTGTTAAATGCTTTTCGAATTATGAAGTTTACAGTATCACTGACATTAGCATTATCCAAGGTGTAGTACGTAGTGGTTGCACGATCGAATGTACATTTCTAAAGCGTGTATATGTGTGTGCGCGCGTATGTCTTAAATAAACTTTAATTATTTAGGTTCCTATTGAAACAAAATCAACTTTTCTTCTTGCGACTGCTATTGCTTTGTGCGCTGACATCGAAGAAAACTGTAATCAATGCGATCGCTTCGGCTCGCGTAATACTTATGTTTCTTTTCGGTCTTAAATACATCTGAATAGTCAAGCTTCACAATGTTTGAAAATTTGTGTAGCCATTTATATCATCGATGATAAGTCAGTGTGCACAATACCGATAGTTGCAAGAAAAAAATTTGATTTTATTTCGATAAGAGCCTAAATAATTAACATTTTTTAAATTTATTTAGAACAAACACACACGCGTATAGGGTTTTAAAAAACACGTATAGTCTTAAAAGAAAATGGTAGGACTTTAATGGCAGATAGCAGTCACGAAGAAGGAAAAAAATATAGGTCGACATAGGTAAACATGGGTCGAAAAATTAATACTGTCACAATTATGAACAATTATTTATTTTAATTAAAGCAAGTGACCTGCTTGCTTCTAGTGCTTATAAAGTTAATTAAGAAGATTTTCTACATGTCCTTTTATTTCTACATTCGCTTCCCATTTTCGTATCACAAAATTGCGAACTCATTTTGCTCCAACTCATTTTGTACTCAGCTTTCGACAAGATTTAATTTTTCAACTC